GTACTCTCGTGTATTAATAAACATTCACATTTGGCAGAATGCAATTTTGGCAAAAAATTTTTATTGCCACGAAGAAAAATTGAGAGGAAATCCTCCTTTAGATTGAATCAAATATAAGTTTTGAAGTTCTTAAGTAAACTCGAGGGGTAAGCGAAGGGAGAAGTATTCTGGCAAAGTTTTCATTTATGAATAAAGAGGAGGATCCGTCAGGACGTGGGATGCGAGGATAGGAAATATCTGTTCCGGATGCGGGGAAGGGGCCAGCGTGCTGGCGCGCCGTTTGTCAAACATTTGGCACGCTGCCGAATCCAGGGCTGTGTGCATCTGACCCCAAGTGCAACAAGTACAATTAGGGAAAGCAGAACTTAGGTGAACTGACCTGCGCACCCTGTCGACCTCTCTCCAATCGATATGCAACCGAAATTCTGCTGACTATCCTAAAGGAACCACCGATTTCCGGTTGTTGAAAAATCTCTAACTGTTGGACATTGGAAATGAATATCTCACGTCTTGAAGATCTTATCCAGAAGACCTGAACCTCTAATGATCAAAGCTTAATCGATTAATCCCTTTGAAATATATTTTCAGATAAAGGAGTATTTTTTGCTGTATTTATTATTTACCGTGGAGATATTGCTGGCTGCATAAATTACATGGCGGGTGCAATTTCCCAGTATTGCGCGGGTCACAATTTGTTCCGTGGTACCCCGTAAAAGTGTTAAATCACACAGTTTTTGCTGCACGCGTATATTTCGGGTTACCTCATTCAATACCTCGTTTCTTAAATCCTTTCCGCGCGTTATTCGTTCCCAGGCAAATGCATATTTTACATTCTCGCCAATTAACTTGTATTTTCAATATTTATCTTAAGGGCAAGAATTTATAGGATTAAACTTCTACAGATTTTATTCGAGCACTTTCATAAATTACACGAAGCACAAAGAGAAGAGTAAGTTAACAAGCAATTTACGTAAAAAGGGAACGCGTGGGATGATTAGTTTAAATCGCGTAATTCACCTGAATTTTTTGCGCATCCAATTCTTCCCATTACACGAAGTATGTAGCTACACAAAGGGAGGACTAATTTCAGCCTCAGCTTCGCATATTTTACTTGCAGTTCCTCCTATTATCAATTTAAGCAAGCTAATCCTCGGTACACTCTTTTCAATAATATTTACTTTAATCCATTTGCATTATACATTCCACGCTATGAATATTATAATAAATATTAATACAATATTTCATACAATAATCGTACTCATGTTAACACAATATTTGATAGTATTATATTTAATGACTGTTACATTGGTTAATAAAACAGTAGTTACAATAATAATTAATACAATATTTCGCTTAGTAATTCATTCTTTGATGATAATGATCAGAAAAATTGTGCGTATACATACGGCAATAATGCAAATGGGATAACAAAGGAGATTATCCGCGCAGGACGTAATTACTTTCGTGGGATTACATTCTGTTTACGGGAATCTGCAACAAATCAAAGGGCGGGCTCGATGCCTCGGCGCATTTCCTCAGTTAGCGAATCTCATTACCGAAACGCATCGGGCGTCATATAAATTTACAACACAATATCGCTTTATCATTGGCCGACGTTTCGCGGGCTGAATTATGGAAGCGGCGAGGGAGGCTACCGTGTCGAGTGATACCTATCCCACGGCCCACGGAATCGACCGCGAGTAGCCTCGTCGTGGAATTGCGAATTCGTCGCGCGTTCACCGACGCGTCTGACATTTTCCCGTTGCCGGGATGATATTTTCTTGAATAACCGCGGTGAACGAAAGTGATTCACGGCCTGCCCTGGTATTTGAATATCAATTGCATCGTGCTTCGTTTAATTCGTACATTACTCGGGGGAAGGATCGTTAAAAGAAATACTAGAGTTTAATTAAATTAAAAGATTCTAGAGTACTCTTCATTTCTGAAAAGTTAAGATCGTGTATAAGGATGATTTCAAGTTGGGAATTTGTTATTGACGATGTGGAAGAGAATCTACAGAAGAATCTAATGACCTGTGACAATTTTCTTATAACGTCCGTCGCAATCTGTTTGGGAGGGCACTTCAGAAAACAGCGAGTGAGGAAAAGAGACGTGGTTGCAGAATGTGAAAGGAGTACGAGGACTTTAGTCGGAGTTATAAAGTACGTGACGGAAAATCGTGTCAGCTGTATATACTCGCAGCTCAACTTTCTCGCACGGTTACAGCAGCTTCGTTCTTCTTTTTTTTTTCCTCTCTTCTCGTCGTGTCTCTCCCGCGAGAGAGAGACTTTCACCAGGACCAGCGACGACGTTCGTTTCTATCGATCCGCGATGCAATTCGATGAGGACCTCTTTCCTTGCCTTTCGTCCTACCCAGAGCTACTGGATGCATTTCGTGTCCCAACACGTACCTCGGAGTCATGAAAATCGGTGAAAGAAATTATTTTTGGTTCGTTATAAAAATTGGTAGCTGTTGCCCTTCGAATTTCAGACTTTTAGATTAGATTAATACTTTTTTCGAATTTAAATATTTATATTCAAACTATTTAAGAATATGTTTAGCGAGAAGATTAACGAACTTAAATGTACAAAAATATTAATTAGATGAACATTTTGTTACATTTAATATGAAAATTGTAAAAGGAAATTTTTATGTCTTTACAACTCAACGTATGAAATTGAAAATTTGCAAAACTGACGGAACATGTGCGCTGCGTGAGGATTAGTAACATAAAAATAGCAATGGGGTGTAAATTTTCAAAGCGCTTTTGAGGAATTACGTATTCATAGAATTTTCACGAGTTTACACGAGTAATTTAAATGTTTCCGTAAATTTTTTCCGCCGCGTGGTTCGAGGATGCTAGAGGCACCACAAAGGCTGAAAATATTGGCCAAGTAGGCACACAAGAAAAGCGTAGTTGTTGTTTGAAGTTTCGGGGCTCCTCGAAAGGAATAAACCACGCTTTCATTTCGTTCTTAAACTTTTCAGTCACGGAACAAACGTGAACGGAATTATTCAAAATGCGTCATTTAGCTTCTGAACTGCAGAATCGAAAAAAAATTGTTATAAACATAGATAGCTTCGTAAAAGAGGTACCAATATTAATATTCATGAAGGTGAGATATTAGCAGTTAAAAGCTGTGTTCAAGTAATTCTTAACTCAATTGCTGTTTTAGACTTCTTTTCCAATGCACAAAGAAGGAATTAAAGCTTTTGCTATTTGTATATTTTTTCAAACAAGGCTATTACTTTCGCAATTTTATTGAATGAAGAGTTTTGACATCCGACATGCAAAGTTTTAATTTCTATATAGAACATACAACTCATTTTGACACCAAGCCAATAGATATAATTATCACTGTTATTAATTTTGTAGAAGATCGAATTCTATGTCGACGCATATCATAATTTCTGGTATTTTTTTTTTTAAAGACCAAACATTTTATCCTTGATGCATCAATATTAGGAGTAATGAATTTAATTAAACTGCCGATAACGCGGCGACTGAATTTTCTCTTTTACTGCGATGGCTTTTGTTCGCATGGAAAAAACTTTCCCATTTGACAGCAGTTCGCATCGGAAATGAATCGTGTTTGCCTCTGCGACCGCATCGGGGAACGTATAATTTAACTTCCGAATGAGCTCCTATTACAGAGCCGGTTCTCGCTTTGAAATTTTGTATGAACGAAAGTTTTTACCTCCTAGTTGTTCAATGATCATGTACATATTTTGAATAATCAGATGAGAATCTAGCTAAAATTCGTCAGACAAATTTCTATTACCAAAATTTGATAGCAGATTAAATCCTAAGTATTCATATTTTTGCTCTTTTTTCAATTTTCTAACACACGTCACACTTATAATCAGTGGTATTTATAATATCGCGATTGCTGAGAATTAACATAATCGACACGTTGCCTTTTAATTTCCCAGCGAATTTATTTGATACATGGCAGAACGCAAAGGGAACGATGAAATGCTGCCAGATATGTAAATATCATCCGCAGCAGGTGCACGCGTCTCTAGGAAATAAATTAAATACGAAGTAATAAAATAAACGCTGGTCGAAATATCTCCCGTTCCGGCTCGCGTTTTAATTCTTTCAATTCATTTCTCTTCCCCGAATTATCTATTTCCCATAAAACTTTCAAACATAAAATATGAAACAAAAAAATTCATTCAATATTTTTTTTTTTCCTGTACAACACGTGAAAAATTCACATTCTAAAAAATATTTCTTTTTTCACAATTATATTATTCTAAAGTTCATTTTCATTTATTCAGCGATTAAATTTTCTGTTTTATTTCCCGTTTATTCTGTAAAACATTTAAAACATTTTGCACAGCACGGAGTCTGTTGTTTCGGAACAGGTTGAAAATAATTTGTAATGCGGTTGAATAGCCGAAATACCTTTTACTGGCGAAATAGCTTCAGTTTTGAATAGAACGTAGCCGATATTCGTTTATGATAGATTTTAACGTGTACACCAGAGCCAGCTAATTCCATTTGCGTCCCGATGCGCATCTGCGCGTCACTGAAAACGCAATTATGCACGTCGAGTTCTGATTACGGACGTCGTTGAAGACAATATCGGCCGGTTTAATCTAGTTTCAGTAACAATACACGTAAACGAATGCGGCCGGCCAACTAGAACATCGGTCCAGACGAAATTCTCGGCGATCGACAACAGGTCGGTTCACTCCCCCGAGTGAAATAACCGCCTGCTGCTTTTTTGGTCTGTGTAAAATGAAATTCCAACTAGAACGACCGTGCAATTCGTTGAAAACGTTTTCAAATTTTCTTTGTTACATTAGAATTTCTAATCGACGCCCAGCTTGAGTTTTCCAAAATTCTAAATGAATAATTGCGACGTATGTCAAACTCTTTCAGAGACCATTCATCTGTAAGCTGTCGTTATAAAATATTGTGACAGGAATTAAAAAGGAGTTGAACACGTCTCTTATGAGGTTTAAAGTTTAATTCTTTTTAACTTCACAGGATTTCAATTTTCAGATGAAACAGGAGAAATCGCTATCGCCAATTTCGAGTCCTCCGTTATTCGTCAAATTCTCACATGTACATGCATTTACCAGTTGTAACCACGCCGTCGAGATCGACAAAAAAGACCGACTTACCGCCGCGATTCGAATTCCCCGTCCCTTGGAAAGCATCGGCTTCGGCCGGCTCGAAAGCGACAAAAGCGTGGCATCAAAACAACCGTCGGCAGGGGATGGGGTTGGCAGGTGGGTTGAAAAGGAAGGCGAGGAAAAGCAACGGGCATGTTTGGGCAGCGATAAGGGGGCACACGGAGTAGTGGAGTGCGCGCGACAGAGAGAGAGAGTTGCGCGCGACGCGGGCGGCGCGGCGCTTGGGGCTTCGGGCGGGTAAGGTCGGCCGAGCGAGCGGCGGCAGAATCGCGCTAACCACTGTGCCATTCGGACACGCAGTCGAACTTCTCTCGCTCGGCGACGCTCGCGACCAACGATCGGCCGCGTCTACCCTCCTCTCGAGGGCGAACCGATCGAACGCGCGTTCGCCATACCCGTTCCGCGTTTTTATTCGGCTTCAACCGTACACAAGTGCGATTCTCTGCGCGATCAAGGTCTTAAAAAACGGAGTAAACGAAGTTCGCAAAGCCACCCCTGCTATCGATTGTTTATCCTTGACTCATCCGCGAGTGACACTCGGACCGACAACAATAGAGTGAGAAGATCGTGTTGGATCTTCGCGTTGACCTTGTTTACTCACGAGTGTGACTCTTCTAATTCCAATTCATTCGAAACGATAGCTAGCTGCGAGAATTCTATTCACCGGTACGTGACTCTCTCGTGGCATTGTTGTTCGCGTCTGTTCGCGTTTTTTCATATCTCTGTGAGCGTGACATTGTCTGTGGCTAGTGACCGTAGTGCGAGCGTAATTCGAACGGTGTGATATACAAGTGTTTCCGAGGGAGAGACTATCAGGTGATCAAAATTGGAGCTGGATCCGGGATCCTGGGGAGCTTTGCGCGGAGGACAGCTTCTGCGGTGAGTAAAACTATTATTCAGCACGTTTTTACATGGTTTACGATGGAAAAGTATTTAGAAATTCTATTATTTTTGCATCCTAGTTTATTACACTTATAATAGATATAGCGGTCTATTATAATTTTTTATTACTTCTGTGTTTTTCATTTATTACATTTATATAATTAACAAGCTATCTATATATAATTCAATGAAATATGAATACTTTCCTTAATAAACTTTTTTACTTTGCATTCTTACTTTGAAAAAAGTATATACCGCGATTAACGTAGGTTAAGATTCGGCTGCATGGTATAAGCACCACAATGTTTACTAGTCGAGAGAATGAAATCCGTGGAACGTCGCAGAAACGACGAGCCATCTGCTCGCCGACAATTGCGTCTAATAACTCGTACACAAACAAGCGCGAAACAATGATCACGTAACCCAGCCTCGTCCCCGATCGCGAACGTAGTCCAAAACATTCCACAGAGCCGGCGATCATTTCTCGAATCGGTAAAATGCGTCTGTGTAGTATATTGGAACAACACTTGGACAGGTCTTGGTCAATTCGTACTTATTTGGGACGATAGCCGCATGAATAAACGGCTTAGCCGGTTCGTCTTGTTTTTTTCCTCGTGGAACCCGGTGTCCCTGCCACCACCGGACGATCTCTCGATTTGAGGAACATCGGCGATCGTTACCCTCGTCGTCACGCGCGTTTCCATGCTTGATCTTGGCGCGACGCTTGCATAACGTTCTTGGAAACCTGTGGCGCCTCGTGGAAGTCAATCGGTTTTAACAAACTGCAAGACGAAATTGAATTGATCGCAGGCCTTTGTTCAATTAATCGAAGGCACTCACTGTGTGACATACGTATGTACGCGTGATCAGGTTGAAGCAAGCGTCGACATTCGCTTTGCGCTACAGTAAAAGCCGATATGGATTTTCATTCGGTTGGAAAATAATGAATTATAGATCTCTTCGACTGATTTTAGAAAGCATACTGTTTGTATGCTGCAGGTTTCGTTATGTCATTCTAAAAGTCAGATCTAATTTTAGATTCCTTTGGCTCTCAAAAATAGTGTGCAGAGTCACACATGCATATGATCCATATTAAGTTTTTTCCATTTTTTGTATAATACATCGAATATTTCTGTAAATGCATAAAATCTCTACTTCATTAAAAATGAACTGCGGAATTTCATTGGATGGTAATAGTCCGCGTTTACCATTCTCTGTAATATTGGCAACGCGTGAGTTACGCTTCTTCATTTTTCCTGTATCCCATTCGCTGTTCTTCCTTGGCGTATGGAAAAAAATTTCGCGAGCAACATAAGTGCCATTGAGGGGCAAGTTCTCCGGGATTACCGTGTTTTTTCTCAGTCAACCACTCCGGCAGCTTATTTTCTCGTTAGCGGTCGACTAAATTCGAATTTAGTGGCCGAAGCGAGACTCGTTCCTCTATCCCGATTTCCAATGAATGAATTATCGAACGCGATAATTGCGATGTTCCAGCCTCGTTCCCCGATGAACGATTAATAGCTTTCCATCCTTTTCCGGGGCCTTTCATTTATTTCAAGCCTTGTTGGCAGAATCAGTGAAAAATGTTTTGAATGACAATCCTTATTCATTCGTTCTATATAATTCATTTAATGATTTACTATAGCGTCTCTTTTTAAACAACATCTGATAGTTAATTTAGAATAATTGTTAGATTTTATAATACACACTATAAGGAAGTGAATGCACGAGCACGCATATGTCGATTTGATCACTGGGGATTATAAACACAAATGTTCCTCTGTCGCATTGATTAGCGACTGTTGCGCACATGATTATTACATCCGTGTAGTTCCATCGCGAGATTGATAAGAAGTAAAAATATGCTCGCTCAGCGCTGATAAGCTAATGTGCCGAGGAAGAAAAAAAATTGTTAATGACCGGTGCAAAAGAGATGCAGGTCATTCACTTGCGGAGAAAGCGTCGTTTGTTCTAATTATATGACGGGGACAGTGGAATGAAATATCGCGGTTGTCGTGGGAAAATATAGTACAGAGTTAGACTGCAGTTTTCACGATAATTTTAAACAAAACCCTGAAGCTTTGTATTTCTAATTAATTTTACAATAAGGTACAAAGCAATCACTTCCAATTAACTGATGAAAAATCTCTCTGCTTTGCGCCTCACGTTCGCGATCAAAAATTCTACCAACGCGGTCTCTCAATTAATAACGATCTAATTATCGGTTGTCGAAGCCAGACATCTCGGTCATGCATCATTAATCGGCCAACGGAAGGTCGGAATTAACGTTGCAACGGGAACAATGCGAGACGGCGAACAGTCAGCTTTCTCCACGGTCGTTCAATGTCGCAAGCAGAAAAAGTTCGTTTTGTATTTTGTTTTTCGTCGGATAAAAAGTGAGTGGTTTCGGCGACGGCCGAGGGAACCGGTATTCTCAGGTCTTTCTCGATCGGGTACACGTGCGACGATCATTGCGTCGTCGATCGCGAGACCAGCAAGAAGCGACCGATCCTCTTTTGTCGACGTTCCAGATCACGTCCGACCGGATTTCTGAACAACTGCCTCGGTATCGTCCACGATGCGACTTTATCTATCCATCGTCTTCACAATTTTCCATCATATCCGAAACTATCGGTTAAGAAAAACAATCCCTGACTCGTCGCACTTGGTTAGATGTCCTTGTAACATTTCTAGGCAAAATACAGCATCCATTAATTCAGATATAGATACTTTGTTTTACATTTCAAGGATAATAATATGCATTTCCTGTTCGATCTTGGATATTTGGTAGTTTTTATAATCTTTTTATGAACGCAATGAATCTTTACTTAGAACTAGACTGCAAATTTGCATGGAAAATAAACTATTAGCAATGTCAATGTAGGAAATGAAATCTAATTAGGAATTTCTTTCGTATTTAAAAAATCATCCTTATATAATTCAATGAAATATGAATACTTTCCTTAATAAACTTTTTTACTTTGCATTCTTACTTTGAAAAAAGTATATACCGCGATTAACGTAGGTTAAGATTCGGCTGCATGGTATAAGCACCACAATGTTTACTAGTCGAGAGAATGAAATCCGTGGAACGTCGCAGAAACGACGAGCCATCTGCTCGCCGACAATTGCGTCTAATAACTCGTACACAAACAAGCGCGAAACAATGATCACGTAACCCAGCCTCGTCCCCGATCGCGAACGTAGTCCAAAACATTCCACAGAGCCGGCGATCATTTCTCGAATCGGTAAAATGCGTCTGTGTAGTATATTGGAACAACACTTGGACAGGTCTTGGTCAATTCGTACTTATTTGGGACGATAGCCGCATGAATAAACGGCTTAGCCGGTTCGTCTTGTTTTTTTCCTCGTGGAACCCGGTGTCCCTGCCACCACCGGACGATCTCTCGATTTGAGGAACATCGGCGATCGTTACCCTCGTCGTCACGCGCGTTTCCATGCTTGATCTTGGCGCGACGCTTGCATAACGTTCTTGGAAACCTGTGGCGCCTCGTGGAAGTCAATCGGTTTTAACAAACTGCAAGACGAAATTGAATTGATCGCAGGCCTTTGTTCAATTAATCGAAGGCACTCACTGTGTGACATACGTATGTACGCGTGATCAGGTTGAAGCAAGCGTCGACATTCGCTTTGCGCTACAGTAAAAGCCGATATGGATTTTCATTCGGTTGGAAAATAATGAATTATAGATCTCTTCGACTGATTTTAGAAAGCATACTGTTTGTATGCTGCAGGTTTCGTTATGTCATTCTAAAAGTCAGATCTAATTTTAGATTCCTTTGGCTCTCAAAAATAGTGTGCAGAGTCACACATGCATATGATCCATATTAAGTTTTTTCCATTTTTTGTATAATACATCGAATATTTCTGTAAATGCATAAAATCTCTACTTCATTAAAAATGAACTGCGGAATTTCATTGGATGGTAATAGTCCGCGTTTACCATTCTCTGTAATATTGGCAACGCGTGAGTTACGCTTCTTCATTTTTCCTGTATCCCATTCGCTGTTCTTCCTTGGCGTATGGAAAAAAATTTCGCGAGCAACATAAGTGCCATTGAGGGGCAAGTTCTCCGGGATTACCGTGTTTTTTCTCAGTCAACCACTCCGGCAGCTTATTTTCTCGTTAGCGGTCGACTAAATTCGAATTTAGTGGCCGAAGCGAGACTCGTTCCTCTATCCCGATTTCCAATGAATGAATTATCGAACGCGATAATTGCGATGTTCCAGCCTCGTTCCCCGATGAACGATTAATAGCTTTCCATCCTTTTCCGGGGCCTTTCATTTATTTCAAGCCTTGTTGGCAGAATCAGTGAAAAATGTTTTGAATGACAATCCTTATTCATTCGTTCTATATAATTCATTTAATGATTTACTATAGCGTCTCTTTTTAAACAACATCTGATAGTTAATTTAGAATAATTGTTAGATTTTATAATACACACTATAAGGAAGTGAATGCACGAGCACGCATATGTCGATTTGATCACTGGGGATTATAAACACAAATGTTCCTCTGTCGCATTGATTAGCGACTGTTGCGCACATGATTATTACATCCGTGTAGTTCCATCGCGAGATTGATAAGAAGTAAAAATATGCTCGCTCAGCGCTGATAAGCTAATGTGCCGAGGAAGAAAAAAAATTGTTAATGACCGGTGCAAAAGAGATGCAGGTCATTCACTTGCGGAGAAAGCGTCGTTTGTTCTAATTATATGACGGGGACAGTGGAATGAAATATCGCGGTTGTCGTGGGAAAATATAGTACAGAGTTAGACTGCAGTTTTCACGATAATTTTAAACAAAACCCTGAAGCTTTGTATTTCTAATTAATTTTACAATAAGGTACAAAGCAATCACTTCCAATTAACTGATGAAAAATCTCTCTGCTTTGCGCCTCACGTTCGCGATCAAAAATTCTACCAACGCGGTCTCTCAATTAATAACGATCTAATTATCGGTTGTCGAAGCCAGACA